CATATCAAATTTATATTTTGAGATGTGCTATAGTGTTAAAATGCTATATTTTAACAATTCTGCTTTAATGGTGCATTTCATCCAAAATACTATTTTTTTTTACACAATCACCAATTTTTTTTTCAACTACCATTCCCAATTACCATTTTCAACTACCATTCTTTTTCAACCACTATTTCCAACTACCAAACCAATAATTATCTATTTTTATTTTTATAAGTAATATTATTTATTATTTATTTATCTTTTAACCCGATCCGATCCTTGATTTATTAGTATGTGTGTTTTGTACACTAAATTGTGTACAACTGTGTTTGTATATATATATTTTTTATGAGTGTTTGTATTTTATTTAGCTTGTTTGTCTTATTAAAAATAAATAAAAATATTTGAATCATCAAATTCTTGTTTGGCATTTCAATACTACAATTCAATAAAATCCATAACAATCTATCATACTACTATTCATGTTTTGTTATTTCTTGTTTTGTTATATAAAATTTGAAAAATAAAAATTATATCTTGTTTGGATTTTATTTATAAAAACAGTTCTCAAAGAACAATTTTCAGAGAATCAGAATAGAAAATAATTTTTAGTGTTTTCAAATTTCAAACCCGTTTGGTTAAGAGAATTTACAAAACAGTTTCCGAAAAACAAATATTCATAAAACTACTTGGTTGTATTTATTGAAAATAGTTTTCTGAGTTAAGAAAATAAATAATAAAATTTCACATAATTTTACAGCCAAGAAGAAAATTTTGATAGCATAGCCTAATTGAGGATTGCACTATGTAAATATTATTATATTATTCTTCACAAAAGTCCTTCATGGACTACAAGAAAATTTTAATGGGACATAAGATTAGATCTAGTTGAAAAGAAGACAGAAAAATCTTCACAGAATTTCTTTTTTATTATTATTTTTTTTCAAACACAAATCAATACTAATAATATTATTATTCAAAAACAGAAGCCATACAATCAGAGTTAATTGCAATTGCAAATTTACAAGCCATGAAGGCCATTCATCAATATCAGAATCACAGGAGCCCATTGACTTGACTTATGTTCCACTGTATTGTGTGAGCTTTAGATGTCCATTTAAGTTGGAAGTTTACACCATGTTGTAGACAAAGCAAAGACACTTCTAACAACGGTGAGAAGAACAACATCAATATTCAATTTAAACCAACCATCAGCAACTGGAGACCGGAGACCAACCATCAATAGTTGGAGACTGGAGACCAACCATCTTCCAAACTGTCCTAACAACTATGCAATCACACACTGATAAAAAGATTCAATTTTTCTTTTTTAATTAAGAAAAAAGAAATGTCAGAAAATTAGATAGACAAATAAAGTTCAAGAATAAAATCCATTAATCTGTCCAAATATAAAGAAAACAAGACATAATGTAAAATTATAAATGCTAAATTGTGAATGCATAATGGGTGGATAGTGAATGACTTAAGTAATGGCAATAAGAGTAAGAGCAATACTGTATTTAATCAATATCATTTAATCAATATCATTTAATCAATATAATTTAATCTTATTCAATTTAATACAAGATTCAAAGAGGACACTAACCAGTTCTTTGTTGTCATCCCCAGTTTCAAGATCCTAGTTATAACATCTATGGCTATGTGCTTAGAATTGCCCTAAACTAAAAATCAATACCAGGGACAATCCTTTACTTTGGCTATGTGCTTAGAAAATTCCAATTTAATCAATCAGATTATTTTAAGGCAATTAACACCATTAGATTATTCCAAGGCAAGGAAATTAACACCATCAAATTATTTAAGCATTTTGAAAATTATTAAAGTAAGATGGACCTTTCCATTATATTTGCCTATATTAAATACTATCTTTTTAGAAAGAAAACTAAATTCATTTACCTTCCTTTCTTTTTCCACAAAAAAATGCACAAATCTTTGACTTTTCTACAAAGGAAAAGAAAATTAAATTCAGTTACCTTCCATTCTAACAAAACCAAAAGATAACCGAGCTGTTATTGTCCATGAAATCATAAGAAAATCTTACACAACCAAGCCAAATTGGAAGTGCGAACAACCAAATCAAATAAACCTTCAAAGCAACACAACCAAATCCAACATGGCAAATTATCAACCCTCAACCAAAGCAAAAAAAATTAGAAGTTTGAACAACCACATCCAGGACAGCCAAATCCAACCCCACCAAAGCAAATAATCAACCCTCAACCCAAATCGGAAGTGTGAACAACCACAAAAAAATTTATAAATCTGACAAAGAGAAAGAAAGGGATAATTTTAACTGAACAGATAGAAACAATCATAGAAAAGAAGAACACAGATGGACCTTCTTATTCCAAAAACTGAAAGAGAACTTGAAGAGGGAGAGACAAAGAAATCTGAGAGAGAGAGCGTTTACAAAAGAAAGAGAATGTAAACTTGATACAGGGAATAAACCAAAATAGCATATTGCTAGAAAGTGCTAAACTTCATACAGGGAACAATACATGCATCAAAGGATATTATTGCAAGCAAATATATTGTTTCAAAAAATGTCAAGCATGTTAAATCAAAGAACAAAATAGTAAATAATTGGATTAGTATATTTTACTGAATTTCACAAATGAGCCCTAAGTTTGTATCACTTCCATATAGCATTCAAAGTCTAACCAATCTCACAACTTTGGAAATTGGGCACTGTGGTGAACTCAATAGAAAATGTAAGAAGGAAGAGGGGGAGGATTGGTACAAGATAGCACACATACCAAATGTTTTTATGTTAGGCTAATTAGCACATAGTACACACAGATGCAGCCAATGGAAAAGATTACAAGCACAGAATCTCTTCCTCAAAGATGAGCTGGTGAAGTGACAACAATCCAACTAGAGGCAAGTGTCTCTTCTCATATCACATGTGGCCGTGATTTCATGTTACAAAAGGTAACAACTTCTTCATATTGATTATGTGTGTGTTAAATTCCAAAAATATATAAATACGCACACATATATTTATGTACTGATAGTGGGAATTTATGGCTGTTGGTTGTAGATGACAGATATCAGCACCAAGATAAAGAGTTTGGGACAGTCCATCAACATTCCTGCATTTTTATATGTATGTAATTTCCAAATTTTTTTATTAATTGTTATACAATTAAAGTTGCCCATTGTTAAGGTTCCAAATTGGAAATGTGGATGGTGCCATTTGATTACTCTGCAGTTGTCAGTCAAACAATTATGGTTTCTCCACATTTTATAGTATCTATAGATTGAAGAAAAGAACAAACAATATAGCCTCACTGATTCAATTATGGTTTCTTTGCAGTTGTTAGTGAAGGCATTATGATTCTATGACCATTATGATTCGAAAAAGAAAATTGCTAGGTTTTTTTTTAGCTCATGTCCTCATTCAGTGATTGAGGTTTGATAATATCACATACTCAATTTGACAGATTTGACAGATAAGGGTGCAAACTCGTCATGAGAAATCCCTCATTGTCGAATTAATTTCAGAAAAGAAGCATCCAAGTATTCTAACATGACAGGATTGCTCATGCCAGTTCATGTAGTGCATATAAATCAAAAGAATCAATTTTTTGTGTTCTTATTAGAACACACTGATTCATCTGGAGAGGTAGATTATGCATCCTAGGCAGAATTGAGTTTTTCAAAATACGAATTTAGAGAGAGAAAGAAAAAGTGAAAGGGGGGGAAGCACATCAACTACCTATTGATGATGAGCATTCACAACAGTTCCTCCCTTTATCAAGATCTTCGAAGGAGATAATGGAACTCCACACTCAGAATCACCATATCCAGTTTTAGCTTCACAAAACTATCAACAAAATGAATCAAAAATCTTCATTATAGACCCAATTCCTCCATTTAATTGCAGAGAAAAAATTGGCAACAAAATTACCGATCTGAGAAGAGAGAGAGAGATATATATATACATATATGAGGATGAAAAGGGAAGAAAAAATATAGATCTGAGAAGAGAGAATTTACCCGGTCGGAGTTCGTCGCCTTTAAGTGCCGGTCGCTGTCGATAATTGCTGGTCCTTGCAGATGGGAGGGAGAGAGAGACGACAGGGCAACGAAAGGGATAGATTGAATGCAACGAAGGGCAGAGGAGAGGCGGATAGGATTGAGGGAGAGAGAATGTCAAAATTTGATAGTCCAAATGAGAGCTCAAAGCATCTCCAATGCAAAAATGTCAAATTCGGATGCCAAATCTATATTTTGACAGTGCTACTGTGTCAAAATGCTACATTTTAACAATTCTGCTCCAATGATATAAATGCTATTTTTTAACACAACCACTATTCTTTTTCAACTACCATTCCCGTCATTCATATTTGCATCAGTAATGTTAATATTAGGCACATTCCAAGTCAAGTTGTAGATAGTAGAAGGAAACTAAAATTAAACTTAATTAAAAAGATTCAAAAATCTAAAATATCTAGTCAAAAAAGGACCAAAAACGAAAAAAAGAAAAAGAAAAAAAGAGAGATAAAACAAAATGATACATATATTTTTAATTTTTTTTTTTCGGGAATATATATATATATATATATATATATATATATTTGATTATATTATTATTAAAAAATAAAATATTTTTAGGGCAAATTATTTCAGCCTCCCCAATTGCCTCCATCTCTATTCTCGTTCTCGACTCTGAACTATCATTCTTTTTCAACTACCATTTCCAAGTACCATTCACAGCTACCATTCCCAACAATCATTCTTTTTCAACTACCATTCCTAGCTACCATTCCCGACTACCATTCTTTTTCAACTACCATTCCCAGCTGCCATTCCCAACTACCATTCCTAACTACCATTCTTTTTCAACTACCATTCCTAACTACCATTCTCAATTATCATTTCAACTACCATTTTCAGCTACCATTCCCAACGACCATTCTTTTTCAACTAACATTTCTAGCTGCCATTCCTAACTACCATTCTTTTTCAACTACCATTCCCGGCTACCATTCTTTTTCAACTAATCTTCCCAGTTACTATTCTCAACTATCATTTCTCCATCTATAAATACCATCATCATCTACCTATAAACTATCTTCCTTCATTATAACTTTAGTACTGCAATGAGCAATTTAAGAAGAGTGATTTTGGGAGAAGATTTCAATGATTCTTCAGCTGATGAAGATCAAAGCGCAGGAGTTATGAAATTTATGGCATCAGAGTTTCATAGAAGGAAGATGCAACGAGACAACCAACCAACTATGCATGTTGGTTCTATAAGTGGTTGGCGATACATCCATCGTGATAGAGTCTCCGGCAACAAGCGACTAATTAAAGATTACTTCGCTGAAAATCCTGTCTACCCGGCTAACATCTTTCGAAGACACTTTCGAATGAATCGTCCATTGTTCCTTCGTATATTAAATGCGATTGAACAATATGACGACTACTTTATCCAAAAGATTGACGCCGTCGGTTTTCCTGGATTATCCGGTTTGCAAAAGATGACTGCGGCAATTCGGATGCTTGCCTACGGTATGCCCGTTGATGCTGTTGACGAGTATGTGAGAATTGGTGAAAGCACAACAATTGAGTCTTTGAAGAGATTCTGTGTGGGAATCATTAGCATTTATGGTGAAGAATATTTGAGATTGCCGACTGAGGCAGACATTTCCAGATTGCTATAGGAGGGGGAGAAACGTGGATTTCCTGGAATGTTAGGGAGTTTGGATTGTATGCATTGGAAATAGAAGAATTGTCCTACTGCATGGCATGGTCAATTCACTGGGCATGTATATAAACCTACAATTATACTTGAGGCAGTTGCCTCGTTTGATTTGTGGATATGGCATGCTTTTTTTGGTATGCCTGGATCTCATAATGATATCAACGTTCTCGATCGGTCTCTTTTCTTTGCTGACCTCGTTGAAGGACGTGCCCCTCCTGCCAACTATACCATCAATGGCAACCAATACACTATGGGATATTATCTTGCTGATGGTATCTATCCTAAGTGGGCAACCCTTGTCTAAACGATTTCTTAACCTCAAGGATTGAAAAGGCAACTATTTGCAACAATGCAAGAGTCATGTCGGAAGGATGTGGAAAGGGCATTTGGTGCTCCAAGCACGTTTTGCTATTGTGCAGGGGCCGGCAAGACTTTGGAGCCATGAAGATCTTGGCTATATCATGAAGGCGTGCATAATTTTGCATAATATGATCATTGAAGATGAGTGTGATGACTCTCTAGATGATGAGTATGATGCACCCGAAACGGTGCATCCAATTGAAGTGTCGCGGGAGCCGACACCCTTATTTTCTGAGTTCCTAGCTCGTCATGGTATGATTCGATCTTCTGCAATCCATCACAGACTCCACAATGATCTTATTGAACATTTGTGGTCACGACAATGACAGATTTGAAGAAGTGTGTTTCAGATGTCTTTTGTTTGGATCCTTGATTTATTAGTATGCGTGTTTTGTACACTAGATAGTGTACAAGTGAGTTTGTAATTTGTTTTTTGTTTTTTGTTTTTTGTTTTTTTATTTTTTCTAAGTGTTTGTATTTTATTTCGCTTGTTTGTCTTATTACAAATAAATAAAAATATTTGGCGTCTTTGTGGTGCGACCGAGCATGTGCACAAAATAATGCACAACATTTTAGGTTTAGAAATAATGTCAAGTGGGCACCATATTTTAAAATTTATAAAACTACGAAACACTTATACTATGGAGTGTGAAGTGAGCAGGGATCGTCCCAAGAGATCTAAACAATTATAGGTTTTCCAAAATTGAATTCTACTTTAGTGCTTATGTGATTGCCAAAAGGGTTTTGTTTGTGATTAAAACTAATTTTAAACTAAATGATTGCAATAAAGAAATAGAGTTTAAGAGATTGGAAAGAGACTTAGGGTGTAGGATTCACCACTAAGCACATTCCCTAACTCACTCACTTTCAACTAATTGTGGAAATAATATTATGTAATCTATATGTGGCTAACAAGTGCAATGAAAAGTGTAAACCATCAATTTCAAGCATGAATGAACTACCTAATGACAATTAAACTAAGTGTAGTGCAATTCACCCATTCAAAGCATGATTTATCAATCCAAGTTACAAATTTAACACACATTAATCTAGAAGATAATGCAATTGTGACAAAAAGTATGGAATTCAAACATAAGTATGGATGGTCTACTTACCTAATAATTGAATTGCAATTAAATTAATTAAACTTAAATTAAACTAATTAAACATGAATTTAAAACTAATTAGACAACAAATTAACCTAAACATGTAGTACCATCCATCAAATGGAAGCATTTTTCATCAATTTGAAACACAATTACAACTAAGCAATACCATGCATAGCCATCACAAGAATCAATTAACAAAGAATTCATGTGTAAAATTTGTTTATCAATCAACCACACATAAGACAATATGAGATTAATACAGATAATCAATTGGAAGAATTTAATTCATAATATTCAAGACTATACACTAATTACATAAATTAATCCCCAAAAAGTATGAAAAGAGAGAGAGAATAGGTTACATGCTTAGGGTTTATCCAACCCTAAGTAGAAGAATCAGCCACTCATGGTTGATGGAGGCGAAGACAGGACAATCCCCATCATCTGCTTCATCTTCTCTGAACTTTTCTTCCAAACCCTAGCCTGTTCTTGCTTTTTCCCTTTCTTCGCGTGTTTTTCCAGAGAGAAAATACGATACTACGATACAGAAAAAATAAAATAATAAAATAAAAACTTAATTTTCCCAAATAATAAATCACTAAACTAATAAATACTAACCCTAAAAACAATGGGCCTCACTGGGCTTAAGTAATAAACCTATTAAAGCCCACTAGGTTACAAAATAAGCCCAAACATTAAAATAAAAATATGCAATGTTGCCAAGTCCTGGGGGATTGATCCCCCACCCTGGGGGATCGATCCCCCAGAGTTGGAAAATTCCTTTAAGCCTTATTCAGCTCCATTTTTGCCCCGGGCTATTTGGTTTGCTTCTCCATCTTTGGGAACATCATCAAAGGCCCGAGATTGACCGCTTTGTGCCATTTTCTGAAAATCTTTGCTTAACTCCAAAAAGGCTTAATTGGACCGTTCTTAGCTCATTTTAACTTTATTGCCCTGAAATACACATAAATATAAATTAGGACTAAAACATAAACTTAAGATAGATGCAAAGACTGAAATACCCTAACTTAGGTGCTGAAATGTGTAACATTTAAACACTTATCAGTTTGCCTTATTAAAAATAAATAAATTTATTTGGCTTGTTTGCCTTATTACAAAAAATTAAAATATTTGGCTTGTTTATTGCAATGGAGATTCTGTTTCACAAAAAAAAAACACATATTGCTAGAACAAACCAAATTACGAAAATAGATGCTTTCATGAAGCACAACAAAAAAAAGTTTCGACAACACAGTCCATTGCCTTTACTTTCATTGTCAAGCATACTACTTCATACAGGGAACAAACCAAAATAACATATTGAAAAATAGTCCTAAACTTCATACAGGGGACAAACCAAAATAGCATATTTCTAGAAAGTGCTAAACTTTATACAAGGAACAAACCAAAATAGCATATTCCTAGAAAGTGCTAAACTTCACTTGTCCTTCATGGTGGACATGGGGGAAAAGGAACATAATAATCAAAGTTTGTTGAGCGTGCTTGTAGTTTGGCAAGAATCTCATTCTTAAGCAGCTGGTAATAAACTTTTGCCTGAGGGTCCATGTTGGAAAGGTCCATCATCATAATCTTGGCTTATTTCTCTTCTTGCTCCCTTTGATTCATTTGCTGCATTACTTTAAATTTTCTTTCTTCTATTTCACACTTCTTCATATATCTGTCAGTTGTAGTTTCGTTAAATTTTTCCATCAAATCACAAAAACGAGTGTCTGAAGTATCTGCTATCTTGCTTTTCTTACGTGCTTTTTTTGCAGCTTTCCTTCCACTAGGCCTTTTGGTTGTTGGGGAGTCAACAAATTTTTCGGTTCGATCTTGATCGGAATCGAGAGAAATGGGCGTCTCAGGAATTTGGGATGCGGAAGAGGAAAATGGGGAAAAGGAATATGGGGTCATTGCAGGAGACTTTGGCTTTTTGGAGGATCCCCAATCTTTCCACTTAATGGCATGTTCCAAAATTGCCCAACAATGATCCAAAGAAAAGTGTTTCTTCTCATTTTCATAATACAAACTTTTTGCTTGAAGAACCTAGAAAATGATATGAAACAAAATTAGATGTATAAAAATTAAAATTACAACTAATAAGAAAAGTAGAATTCTCACCTTATCTGTTTCATTGATTCCACTTTGTTGCCTATTTTCAATTTGTCTGACGCACCCACTATATTTAATGCAAGACTTCATGATTATGCCCCAACGAGATTGGATAGCAACTTGTGTTCGTACATTTTCGTCATTGGAGTGATCAAGATAATTTTGAAATATCCAATTCCAAAACGTACTCTGTGATTGCGAGTTACCAACTATTGGATCTTGGGTGATGCTCAACCAAGCATTACAAATTGCTATATCTTGATCCGGCGTGAATGTCTTTCCCCGCTTTGTTGATGATTGAGAGACTTCAATTGATAGTTATTAATTGACCTTTAAACCTGTGTCTTTTAGAAATCACATGTTTTAGATTTGCTGGATGGATTACAATTATTTTCGAACAAAATATATGAGAACAAAAAAAATAAAAAAAATGCTCAGATATGCAGAAGCACAAAACAGTATCTAATAAGACCCCAAAAAAGATGCCAAGACAACAGCAGATATGCAGAAAGACATCATTGACAACAAAACCAAGCTGCAAGCCTCTGCCACAAACAACATGAAAGCCGATATAGAAAGCCACCATGCGCAAAAATAGTTTGTCTAGACAAACTGCTCTACAATGCAAAACCTCCCAATTCTTGTAAAAACCTTTGATTTTGTGCAGAGTTTCTTTATATTTTTTTGGCCCAGAAATCTGCTTCTAATGAAATTGATAATTTTTGCTTCAATTCAAATTTTCTCATAGAATCTGGCATAATTTTACATATGCATGTAGGCAAGCTTGTTGGGTTTATATTATATTATGATCAACTTAAAGTGGAAGAGCGGATTTACATCTTTTGTTGCAGAAAGAAAAGTAAAATTGATTTTATAAATTGGATTTAACTTCCTAACCAATAACCCAATTCCAAATACTCATAATTCCAGCCTCCAATGCTATGTAAAACAAAATGGGCAATTCATTTCCACCACTGTCCAAATGAATGCGGAACACATCCTTCAGCTTCTAAACATAAACTGATGTGAATGAACACTTTTTTAATCCCAACCCCTAACCTACCCGGTAAGAAATTAGAAATAAATTCATGCATACTTTAACCAAAAAAAAAAAAGGAGAGGGGGGAAACAAACAAGCACATCATAGAAGATTGACAACATTTCTACTTTATTTTATTTACTCAATCTTATTGTATTAGGTCGAGTCAATTTACACTAAAAAACTAGGAAATGTAAAAAAATTTGATGAATGAAGATTAAGAATATAAATAAAGGTATGAGCTTAGGAGACCAAACAAACATAATTGAACACTCAAGATTGAAAAATATGGTACCTTACAAGAGACGGACACGCCTGCAACTATCTGTATGGTAGTTTGTTGGCTGTGATGACATGAAAAACAATAGGAGGATGTATGGTTTGGAAAATGGGAAGGAAAGCAAAGCACATGTATGGATACATATTATGTAGAATAAACACACTCATATACATATATAAATATATGCATATAAAAGTAAAAAATTGAAGTTCTGAAAATTTGTTAGTTGTGGTGTAGTACTCAACTCAATTAAAAGATAAAAAGGGTCAACTCTTTGGAGCAAAACTTTTTTCCAGATTTGTATGGCACTAGTTATTATAGTATATTTTGATTGAAATTTTGTACAACTTCTAAACCCAAGAATAAAACACAATCTTCTCTAGTAATTCGCAATTAATTGATGTTGCTGGTTTGAACAAGATGATTATTTGAGAAAGAGGGAAATATTAGAAATAAAATAATAATAATAATAACAGGAAAAACATATACAACAAATAATCATCTACAGTCAAATATTATCCCTTTATGCCCAAAGAATATGAACACTGCTCTCTCGAAATAAATCCAAAAACAAGCTCAACCCCAAATTTTTCAAGTTAAAGGAACAGAACAAAATACCCAAGGAAGTTTTATAACTACGAAAATAAAATAAAACAGAAAACAAATTGACGAGGATAAGTTGAGTAAGGATCACACCTCTACAAGCTCCCTTTCCATGTCAGCATATTCAGAGCTTCAAGGGGATTTATGAGACCATAAAGGGGGTTTATGCTCCTACAATGATGAGGAAGAGCAATGGATTGACTCGACGACGAATCAGAGAGACAATGATGAGGAAGAGATTAACTTTTTGTCGCTGGTGGCCGGTCTCTTCCGTTTATGTTGCCACGGTTCTCCTCTCTCTCTCTCTCTCTGTTGCCCTAGACAAAACAAACCGAAATTAGAGCCGTCCCTTCTTTTCTGTAGCCCCCAGCCCATATAGCAAGTGCTATTTGTTTTGCTACAATTGGCATAAAAAATAGCGGCCAAAATAGCATTGCATTGGAGATCCCAATTTTAAGCTCACCTGCCATATTTTGAATTAGCAGCCCATATAACACAGAGATGCTCTCATTGGAGAGCCGTTTTTTCAGCACCTTTCATATTTTGAGTTTGAGAGTCCAAAATGAGAGAGCATTGGAGTTGAGAGCAAGCAAATTAAAGAGTATAGATAAATATTTGTTCAAAAATATATATATATATATATTCTCCAGATACTTCAATTGATAAGATGACATTATTATTATTATTTTTTTTTACATTATTTAATCGTTTGTTTTTTTTTTTTTGTTTTATTATTTTTCATTAGCAAAAAAACAAATACTCCTTTGATCCTAAGTTAAGTGTGGGTTTTCACAGTTTCACAGTTTCCAAAGACGACACTTAATTTGAAACGGAGGAGTAACAAAACTCATACACTCACTTTGCTCATTTGAAGACTCTAACCTCACCATCCACTTTAAAAATCAGATAGAAAATACCATTCGACTGCAAGACCCTTAGTAAGCGACTGGTTTAGGCCCTCTTTGGTTTGCATTTTGCTTCTAATTTGCATTTTGTTTTAATTTACAACAAAACAAGTGTTTGTTGTAAAGTGTTTTGAATAATAATCAAAAGCACATTTGATAATATTTATTTGTTACAAGATTTTTAAAAATAAAAATATGAAAATATATTTGATCAAAAAATGTTGCAAGTTTAAAAAATATAAAGGTTAATTTAATAATGTAATTTAAAAGTTTTTAAATTTTTATAATGTTTATTGGTACAGTATCAATTATTACAATGTTGAAACATGTAAAAATAATAAATTGATAGTCTTAATTTTTGACTACTATTTACAAAACGTTTCGATAGTATACAAAACAAAATATTTTTTACACTTTTCATTGTTCCAATATTCAACAAAAATAAAAATATCAAAAATAAAACGTATACTAAACAGACTCGTAGTTGGCATGAGTTAGTTCATTTGTTTGTTTGTGTTTTGTTTTTTTTTTTTTTTTTTAGGTTTTTTTTGTCAAAAGGAACCCAACAAGTTGGCAAATACAAAACCCAATTCTATTGCTGAACCCAAAGAAAAAAGCCCGGGCCAAAAATCCAAGACAAAAAACCCCGACGGCGAAGCAGAGCAAGAGCGGGAGGTGTGCAACAACAAGAAGAAGGGAGATTACAATCGCTAAGAATGATCCGGGAGGCTGTGCAATCTTTAAAGAACCCTAGTTTGAGAATTGAAGAGATGGTGTTACAAACTCTGTGATGAGGGCTTTCCAGGAAAGATTCGAGCATTCCTGTCAATGCTTCTAAGCTGTCTGCACCATTGCATGTTTTCTGTTTGATGAAATGCCTAGCAATGCTTCTATGCTGTAAAAGCTTCTTCCAATTACTGCTGTGGAGCCTTCATAACCCAGAAATCTCTATATCTAATCAGGTATGTTCTAACTCACATTACCCAAATACTCTGATTGTTGTTTTCTGAGATGGACCATATGTGCCTTGACATGCTATCCTTGTTTGAGACTATTATATTAAGCTTATAAGGAAATGATTGAATTGTCTTGCATTAAAAATATGTTACGACTCAAAAATTAATTTTAAGTTTGATTAATTGAACTTTAACCATGTACTTGTTGCATTCTTCTTAGAATATTAAGCTATAAAGGAAATGATTGAATTGTCTTGCATTAAAAATATGTTACGCCTCACAAATTCATTTTAAGATTGATTATTTGAACTTTAAACTTTTAACCATGTACGTTTTTTTGTTTTTGTTTTTGTTTTTGTTTTTTGCATTCTTCTTAACTGGTCGTTTAATCAAATAGCTTGTGTTTAGTGCACAATTGCATTTGATTTACTTCCAAATAAAACTGCATTTAGATTACTTTAGTAGCTTACGTAGATGGTGATAAAACTAATGCGGAAGTTGAAAGCGACGGTTGGGGCCAAAAATGAGTATTAAATTATCACCTCTTTCATTGGCAACTTAGTTGTACTATAAAGTAATCGATTCCCTTCTTTTAAAAGTGTAGATTCTCCTTTCCAAGGGCTTTTAGGCCAATGGGACCCATAGTAATAGTTACTCCTTGATCCACTCTGAAATAATTTAAAGGGAAAATCATGATGACCTTAATTCGTTAAAGTTATCAATGATTACCCAAACCTGTACTCCCATTTGAAAAATGAAACAAATTGTTATACATCTCAACTTCCAGTATAATGAATCCTAAAGCCTAAATGGAAACTAAATAATACATAACTCCAAACTGCAAAATTAACCACTACACATACGGGTAAGCCATTGCGGCAGCTAACACTGCTCCCCCACAAATAATGTTACCTGAGAAGATGCGTAAAACTCATTCTTTGATCTGCATCAGAATGCATAATTCAACCCTAAAACCAAGTTGCTTGCCAAATGAGCTCAATTACAACTGAAAATAGTAAAGTTGTTTATCTTATTCTCCTATTGTCAACCTGAACCCGAACTTTCTTCCAATGATCTATCTGCAATGTATAATGTCGGGATTTACTAAGAATAAGTTCAAACCAATAAAATAAAAGAATTAAGCCGCTTCTCCAAGTTCATTGCATCTTCTATACCTATTCTCTATGAAACAAAACTATATAACGACCTAGGCTTGAGCAGAAACCTGTTCAGCACACTTGCCATGAAAGGAGGGTAGGTTCACCATAACTTCCCAGTTCGTCCTTTATATTCAAAATAATTACATTTCAAGCAAACAGGCCATGATCATAATACGTGTTACATTTTGAAACTTAAACATTTGAAATTACATCTTATTTTAAAATAATAGAAAGAGGAAAAATATTTTGAACATCCCACAAAAGGAAAGATAGAAGAATACTAAATAAAGAAAAAAGAGAAGTGCACTCAGATAACCATGTTAATATTAGCCTGAGAAGAATCTAGCTAGGGCACTGCATCTTCTTTAATGTTGTCAAGTGAGGGTCTTATTGCCTCATCTATATAATATCCCAAGAACTGTTCTCCTAAGGCAAAGTGCGCATTGAGCAAAGAAACCAGAGTAATAAGCTCCCCACCCTTGCTAAGCAGCTGAGCATGACAACGCGTTGTGCAGTGAATTGCGCCAAAGCGCAACATTTCCACCCACACTTTGCCCACTATTTCCCACCTCTCCTTCTTATCCTCCAGTTTGAGAAGACTCAATGTCAGATCTCTTGCATCCTTTAACACTGTTTTATGAAAATAGAGTATGTCTCCTATTTCAATTGAGGAAGTACGTATATAGTCACAAACAAATTTACTTTTCTCCTCCATCGTCCTGAATTTCGTAAGGTTAGCCCTTACCTCAGGTAACCGCACGAGCTTCTCGAAATGCTTACAGGTGGCCCAGAACATCTGTTTCTGAAGATGCAAGAAATTCCTTCTCCTCCTTCTCTCTCTAGAATTCTTACACCTCAACCCAAAAAGATCCCTCTCCTTTCCATTCCATATCCCATTTATAGATATTTACAAGATATTTACAAGATATTTACTGATTGCTGGATCTGGGCCTATTCCTCCATAAGCCCTGGTCACCTTTGATGGGCTCACTCCCGTTCGGCCCATATGGCAGTGTCTTTATATGGGCCGACCCAGCTGTACGAACTGAATGTTGTGTTTGCGAGTCGGATCCGGCCCATGTGGTCCGGGGCCTCCTCAACTGCCCCCATAATTGCCCCTTATTTAATAAGGGGTAATTATTGATGGCGTCTCATCATGATGCTGACGGCTCGAGATAACCACGTGGGGGAGCGGATGGTCAGATCAAGAATCAATGTTCCGGGGCTCGAGGAATTTCTCGCCTTCCCGACGCTTCGGCCCTCGGGCCCCCTCGCCTTTATAATGCTCTAGAGTTCCACTTCACTTCCCTTTACCGTCTCCATCATCAGCCAAGTCTCTCTCTTTCTAGAACAGTGCTAAGCTTTTTCTGGTGAAATCCTTCAAGAGTCATTCTTCCAGCGATCTTGCAGTCCTTCGAGGTTAGTTTCGTTCTTTTTACTTTCGGCAGGCTTCCATTTACCCCCTTTTAGATTCTTCTAGCACTTCCACCATGGTTGTAGATCTGGATGTTCTTCGTATGAGACTTAGACTTCCTGACAACATCGAAGTTAGGGTTTGCCCCCAGGATGTTAACATTATGACCGGCGCCGGCCTCCTGCCCGGCGAAGTCTTATTCACGAACCTTCAATTAAATGTTGTTAGGTTCCCTCTGCACCCTTTCTTTAGTTATGTCTTCAATAGATTGGGGATATCCCCTCTGCAGGTCAACCCCAACTTCTTTAGAATCATATCTGTTATGCTCTTGTTGATGCGTGACAGACATCTGGACCTCGACCTCATAGACCTCCTTCTGTGCTATAAGGTCAGTAAGATCCGTACTAACGAACCCTTCTACCACCTCTACCCGTTCGAGAAGATGTCCATATGTACGGACACAATAAAATCTGAGAAGGGTTGGAGGGATAGCATAGTGGGCATTAGTGGGGCTTGGTCTTCGCCGGCTGCAGAGGATTACCCAATCCCGAGCGCCTTTGGTGTCTGTTCTGTCTCCTCCTATAAGAAATTCAAATCTCACAAACATGACTGCCCCTGCGAAACATGCGTTCCTCGTTTTTGCACTTTCTTATGCCGTTCCTTGGGAATACCTTGTGATGATTTGAGCTATAGTGTTTGCAGGGATAGGAGTAACTACTTGAAGAAATACGTTCTGAACGATATTCCTTCCTGCTCAGATCTCCTCACTTCAGACAACCTCTTAGCGCTCTCATCCCTCGGCTACAACATGAGCAGACTTCAGATTCCTTCTTTCGGCAGGAAGAAAAATACTCCCCCAGCCACTCCTGCTGCTGGGGCGACCTCCTCTCCAGCGTCAGCTTCTTCCTCAGCCACCATATCTGACACT